TGAAGATGAAGATGAAGATGAAGATGAAGATGAAGATGAAGATGAAGATGAAGATGAAGATGAAGATGAAGATGAAGATGAAGATGAAGATGAAGATGAAGATGAAGATGAAGATGAAGATGAAGATGAAGATGAAGATGAAGATGAAGATGAAGATGCAGATAAAACTCACACTTAATTTTAGTGCTAAGTCAGCTTAAACTTAGCATAGTATAGTTTGGAGGCGTCGATATGCAAGTATGTACTCTAGAGTGGTCCAAAGACATGCAGAGGATTTTTCCATACTACAAAAATATGCCGGTTTTTGTTTCGAAATCAAAAAATATTTAGAGGTCGCTCAAAGCGTTCATAGATCTCCATGCACCTTTGTGGTCAACTGATTAAGGTAAATGACATTTTATCCACCTTTTCTATTTTTCTTTTGTTTATTTAATGTTTATTGTTTTTTAAGTCTAGCATATTACATAACCTGCAGTATATATGTAAATCCTCATTTCAAACTTCGTACGAAAATTAAAAAAATTCAACAAACTAACCATTACTTCCAAATATTTTAAACTTTTTATTCAGAATTTTTAGAAAAAATTTAGTTATGCAGTTTTATAGCTCAATAAATTTTAGTGGGATAAAGCAAGGCATATTCAACAAGGTAGAAGTGACAATTCAATCGAGCTCTCTTATAGCTGACTGTAATGTCAAAAAATGCAAACAAAGAAATTAACCCTTTGTTATTCATTTACCATATTTGATAAATCTCAACATCTTTCAAATGAAAGTAAATATGAAAATTGCATTTTCGCAGGTGTTTGTTCGTGTTCCCCCGTCTGTGGCACCCCGTGTTTAATTATCCTTGCTTTTTTATCTCTGAAAATTACTGACGTGTGCCGACTACTCAGATAATGCGTTGACCACCGTAGGAGGTCCCTGTGCGAGAGAGGAAGCCCAAGAGCGTGGCCTTAGGCAAATTGAGGACCTTCGTAAGATAATATAAAAATAAAATGTTGTTCATACGTTATATGGAAGAAAATGTGCAACACCCTCGACAAAAAAAAAAAAATCTATTTACAAAATCAACGGTAATTTTAAGTGACTTGAAACTCGCACTTTTCATACCAAAATTGAGTGGTCTACAAGACTGCATACTCAAAAATGTTTTAGAAACTCTGAATAAAAAGCTTAAAATTTTGATGAATTTTTTTTGAAGTTTGATTCATTTTTGTGAACTTTGTGCAAACCTTAAAACTTGTATTTACAGCTGCGTGCACTTAATTAGAAACGAGGTTATCAGCACTTCATATATTTGAATAAATCCGCGAACTTTCTAGTTGCATTTGATTATTAAATGTCAAAACACTTGAAATACATGCGAGAGGATTCATAGAAATTGTTTTGCAGTTTACTTGAATTACAACGTTACTTGGTTAGTTTTTTCTTAGTTCGCGTCAGGAGAGCTCGTGCACGTAATTAGAAACGCGGATATTATTTTATATTATTTGAATATTTTGTTATTTATCTAACATCCATCTATCATCCTTTAGAAGGAAAACATGGGAAAGAATAAGAGTTGCGACGAAAATACCCGAAAAATTATCGTACACATGCATAATGATGGAAAATCATATGGGTCCATTGCAAACAGTTTAGGCATATCCAAAAAGATGGTTTTTAATGCTGTGCATCATTTCAAAAGATATTCCACATTTATAAATGTTCCACGAAAGCGTAGACCCCGAAAAACAACCGCTCACGAAGACAGCCTCATAATAAGAGAATCTAAAAAATTTTCGCAAAAAACAGCATATTAGAACAGACCTTCCAAGGATACAATAAAACGAAGATTAAGAGAGGCTGGGTTATTTGGCCGAGTTTCGCGGAAGAAGCCCCTTATAATTGAGAGAAATCGGAGAAGACGCTTGGAGTTCGCCATAAAATACAGCAATTGGACGGTTAAAGAATGGGGGGGTGTATGTCATGGCGCGGCGTTGGGCCTTTACACCCGATTGATGGTATAATGGACAAATTCCAATACATTTCCATCTTAAACAACGTTCTCCTACCGTATGCTGTGGAAAATTTGCCTGTGACATGGATTTTCCAACAGGATAATGATCCGAAGCATACGGCTGGTGCAGCAAAACAGTGGTTCTCTCAAAATTATATAAACGTATTGGATTGGCCTTCATGCAGCCCGGACTTAAAGCCCATAGAGAATCTATGGCAACATGTAAAAAAAGAAAATCGCAGCTCATATAATCGGAAATTTTGAGGAACTGTATGAAAGGACCTTGGAGTCATGGAATGCTATTCCTAAAAGTGTATGTGAAGCTTACATTAGTTCAATGCCACGCAGATTGTAAGCCGTAATTCAGAATAACGGTTTCGCAACAAAATATTGACGCGTTTATGGAATTAAACAACAATTACAATATTTTGTTATAACGTTTATAATTAGCTGCACTACTGATTTTTCTATTTATGAATATTGGTGATTTTTTTTTACTAAAGAAATGTGGATTTTTAATTTTAAGTTTTATTTTCTTTTTTGCGTAATATCGTAGTGTTTATTAAAATAAACTTTGTAAATGTTTTAGTTCGGAAATAAAAAAAATATTTACGTAACCTACTATGCACAACCTCGTTTCTAATTAACTGCACGCAGCTGTATGTAGTTTCTGTTATACACTTGTGATCAGCTAATTAACTCATCAACATTGTGATCAGTTTTAGCTATTTTTCTTTTGTTTATTTCATGTTCATTATTTTTCCATAAAAGTCTAGCTCATTAAATTACAAACACCATATAAATCCATATTTGAAACTTTGTGCAAAAATTATAAAAAATCTGCAAAGTTTCAGTAAGTTTTTTTGATTATGCAGTTATGCCCATTAAATTGTAGTTCTAGTGCAAGTTTTGGGTTGCTAAAGAATCGCGTTAATTTTTATACTTTTTCTGACTGCATGACGCTTTTTTTCATACAAAAAAAAAATTTGTTTGGTATTTAAAACTTGCATGTTATTACCCTGGAAATTAATGGGCTATTAAACTGCATACTCAAAAAAGTTCTAAAAAATCTGTATGAAAAGTTTAAAATTTAGCTAAAACTTTGCAGATATTTTATAATTTTTGCACAAAGTTTGAAATGTGGATTTATATAGTGTTTGTTTTATAATGAGGTAGACTTTTATGGAAGACCATTAAATAAACAAAAGAAAAATAGCCAAAATTTATCAAAATGTTGATGACTTAATTAGCAGAGCACAAGTCTAGAACAAACTATATTTTAAATGAACAAGTAATTTTTAAACAAAAAACAAAACCGACTTCAATTCTCATATACAAATTTAAGATTATTGTTAATTTCTTCACGATCCAATTATCGGATCAAAACAAAATTAGTATGGGAAAAAACATACATAAAAAAAAAATCCGACGAACTGATAATCTCCTTTTTGTGAAGTCGGTTAAAAATATAAAAAATAAATAAATAATTACATATAAGTTGCAAACATAAGTTTGCTACTATTTTATTGAACGCTGCTGTATACATACATATGTACATATATGTATGTATAGTCTTCAAAATATTTACATCGACCCAAAAGTGAGAATGTGTGTAAGATGAAATGCAAAGATTTTTTTTTGGAATTGTTGATTCAAAAAACACTCTCCGCCCATTGATAAATGACAAGTTAAAGGAAAGCTTTGTACACACAGAAAGTTGTACCTCATATTTGTATTCTTCACAAAAAACTACTAAATATGTATGTATGTGAATTTAATTGTATATATTTGCATAAGAAATACAAAATAGAATAAAAGAGACCGTCATAAAATTACGAATACAGAACGAGAGATTGCTAAATTTAGTCAAGTGACATAATTTAAAAATGCTGATCGTATTTTCAGTTAAGTTGAACAATTTATTAACAACATAAATAGTATTTAACAACATATTATGTCATATGCGACAACAGTAATAGAAAGGGATAAAAGTCGCCGAAAATTTTTAAAATATTCGTATGCATGTACATATCGTCACTTGGAATGCAAAATGCCGCGAACTAACAAAATTGTCATTTTTTGCACAAAGCGATGTAGGGACTTGTATTCGATGAAATGCATCTTAATCAATCAAAACGTTAATTAAGGATTTTTTCTTAGTTACGGCCTTTTGCATTTCAGGTGAGAATGGGTGTTGTTTCAAAAAAGTGCGGCACGCAAGAATAGGCACAATTTTTATTTTGGTAGACGCCAATTAACAAAAGGATGTTTAACACCACGAGTTTCTAAATAGATATTTTTAGTATGTGCATTAGGGTGGTACAAAAATGCATGTGTAAAAGTAAAATCCGAATTTTTGCGCTCTCCCCCCTAGGATTGTTCTATACCGAAAAAATATACCCTTATTTTTTTTAAATCAAAAAATATTTAGAGGTCGCTCAAAGTGCCCAAAGTCTATGTATTTTATATGGGGAAAAACCACTTTTCGTAGAAATGGTATAGAATAGCTAAAAATCAATATTTTTCTACGAGAAAACTCTTTTTATCTGCAGGATATTTCCAATAATAATACTCACTTCTTTATTTAACCAATTTTTCATCGCAACTATAATTTATAGGTCCGCCAAAAACCCACAAAAATTACGAAAAATGCAATGGGGCGACCAATAAAAAATCGTTAGTATTAAAAAGTTGTTAAATAAACAACCAGAGAAGAGAACCAGAGTTTTCCGAACGAAAAATATTGACTTTTATGAATTCTACAAATGGTAGTACGAAAAATTTTATTTTTCCCATATAAAAATACTTGTAAAACTTTGAGCGCTTTGAGCGACCTCTAAATATTTTTCGATTTCAAAATAAAAAATAGGGGTATACTTTTTCGATATAGAACAATCCTAGGGGATGAGGGCATTACAATTCCGACATTACTGTTTTTGGACCACCCTAATGTGCATACATATTTACTACCAAATAGTACAAATACGTTAATCTAGATATAATATAAAATATGTATGTATATACATAAATGTAAAAACTTTTAAGTAAACCCTGTATCAATAAATGGAATAAAAAAATATGCAAATGTGTGTAAAATTCTTACCTACACATAAATACGATCAGGAAAGTATTTCTTTCGATTCTTTTAAGTAATTCTGGTACGTCGCAAATTTACTAGTTCTTCAATCGCGCTTTCCCCAATTTATGTAACGGCTATGTGTGAAAGTTCCTTGTTCACAAAAACGAACATCTAGTTGCATTAAGAATATGTACCAAATTATCAGTTCTATAACAAAACCAGTTTTACTGCTGCTGCAGTATTAGAGTTCGTGCCTACTAGGCAGTGATCGGACTTCTATCACATTGTGGTAGATCTGCCACTTTTTTGAGCATCTACCACACAAGTTCTGAAATCTACCACATATTCGCGTTTTTAATTACTTTTATTTTTGCTCGACATAATTTTAAGAGCAAAAATTGCCCACCACTAAACACTAGCAACAGGCAGAATGGGAGGATAAAATAAACTGTAAAATAGTAAATTTTCTCAATATTAAATTTTATTGTTTTATTGTGTTAAATTGCAAAATATGTGATTTATAAAAATAATTAATGGCGAAAATGGGTACTCTTTATGAATTTGTACAACGATTTTGGGTTGCTGTGCCCAAACGCATGAATCGAATCAAAAACCTTTTACACACACTTGTAGACAACAGTTCACGCTTCATTACAAAAATAAAATTTACTATATCTGTGGACTAATTTATTAATAATGTCGGTTGGAAATATGTTTTTTTTTGCAACTTTCCGAGCTGAGCTGTAAAAAAATATCCACGAAATATCTCTGCAAAAGGGGTTCAGCCCCTCTTCTTTAGCAAAACAGAAAGAAGAATTCTACTTAGTGAGGGTTATAATCACTAAGTGCGGCCTACGCAGAAAGGTGCTCTCTGCAAAAGGTGTTCAGCCCCTCTTCTTGGGCAACAGAGAAAGGAGTAGTGAGGGTTATAATCGTTTTGGAAAAAATCCCAATTTCCGCTGTTTTCAAACAGCTCCCAAGGGGTCTTTAGGGGGGAAGTGGGGTGAGTGGTGACTTTTCATAAAGCGGCGTCCATCCTCTTTCGTTTAAGGGGGTTTGGTCAATCTTGCACTTTATTATACTAAAATTAATTTTGTTTTGGATTCTAATTAAAATGTTGGCTATTTAGGTGGAACTTTGCAGAATTTTTTTAATTTTTGTGCAAAGTTTCATCTAAAGCCTGAGATCTACCACATTTTTTTGAAATCTACATTTTTTCCAGATTCTCCCACACAATTTTTTTTTTAAGTTCGATCACTGCTACTAGGTAACAAGATAATTTAAAAATGCAAACAAGCCCTACTGGCGTAGCATTTAAAACTAGTATTTGCCCCGAGGATACTACCATAAAACCATACCGGTAAAATGTATTGAGCTTTTACTGACTACATAATGCATTACCTTACATTCGAGTGTAAATATACTAAAAGATACAATAGTGCTAATGTAAGCTCTAAATATATTCAAAACCTTCCACTATATCTATTTTTTTATTATTATGAAATAGCAGCAATAATTAAACCACGTTTTTATTTGTTTAGCAAATTTTGAAATTGTGACACGCTTTCGTAAGCTTTTCGGTCCACAAATAGCATGGAATACGCATGCCATTTGTACATACACATCAACGTTTTGTACACTACGCGGGGTCGACTCGTTATCATTCTACGGTTGTAAATATGCACATTTGTTTTATACACTCGGTAAAACGTTGAATTAACTCAAACCAGATGGCATATATTCCAGTCTAATAAAATGGCCTAGAGATCGTGAATTTTAATTATATTTATTATGTACACCCGCACCAAATGAAGTCATCTGTATACAGGTTACCACTATTCCACACTACCATTACTTCACACATACCTAAAACTATAGCTACTCTCAGCCTGTACTATGTTTACTTTTCGCTAATATGATGTATATATTATGCAATTAATAATTAGGATCTGTTAAATGCTTAAAAACATTTCTTGGCTATTGCTGCAGAAAATGCAAGACGAGACGATAGTTTGAAACAAATTGACAGCAAATGTCAAATCCAACACGAAATATTGAAGTGTTGATAAACGATTGTAGTCGAAATTAGTTGTGTTTTAGTAATCTCCGGAAAAAAATATCCAGTACCTTGCCAGCATGATTCAATAATGCAAAGGTAAAGGTGCTGGCCCAATGCAAATGTGTCAAAAATTATTTGGAATATACTAAAACGTGTAAAGGCTGGCCAAATGGCAGCTTTTCTTCACTTGCTTTAAGCGCCCAAAGTTTGAATTAGGCAAATGTTTTATTTGAAAGCGTTTTGTAGGCTTTTGACAAAGAGGTATGTTCCTTTCTAAATACATAAATTCAAACAAAAATTTGCTTACTTAATTTAAAAAAGTCACAGAAAATGCAGGTAATTCGAAATGAAATAAAAATGATTCATTGTTTCCATATTTATATTTAACATGTCGTTATCTTATAGTAAAAAGTTGCAAAACCCACTTTTACAAATTTTACACGAGAGGAAAAAACTTCTTCTTCAAGTAAATCACTTTTTTAAGTTATAGTTTTTTTCAGTAAATGTAGATATAGATATGTATCATTATTATCATTTCTTTTAAATACAAACATTATTTCGCATTAATTTAAAAATAAATCTGAAAGTTTTTCATACATTTTTTAGAGTTTTCTAGGAAATGATTATTAACGTTAAGCTGGTTACTTTGACAGCGTTCCAAGCCACCATTCGGCCAAGCAAGTTTTCAAAGTAAATCAAAGCAAATTGAAGTCAGCAAGGCGCGCAAAGCAAGCCTGCATTGGGCCAGCGCCTTTAGATAATATTGACAGCTGCGGTTTGACACTCCCTTACAAAAGGTTGCATTTACGAAGGACGGGGAAAGGGGACGAATGAAATATCTTGGTGCAAAAATGGCAGTAGAAAAGTAAGCCAAGTAGGCAATTAGTAGTGAAATTCCTTTTGTAAATTCTAATGTATTTGCAGGAAATCTTGCATTTTAAACGAAATGTTGAACGTAATATTGATATATCTACGTGAATTACGTAATTTATGTGCTATTTAGCTGTATAAAAACTGCACAATTACTCAAAATTAAAAAAAGACTACTGTGAGATTGATGTAAACATCCAATTTAAAAACAGTTTATGTTTTCATGAGTTAAATATGCTTCATATGCATTTACAAATAAACATATTGCACAAAAGCTTATACTTATATTTCACAACAAAGCTACACTGTTTCCATGTACATTTACAAAGAAGCAACACGGTGCCACTGCTTACGGAGCGGTGCGAGAGAGACAACAGTCAGTTTATCGAACCTTGTATTATTGAATCATGCCTTGCCAGTAAAGCTGAAATTAGTCAAGAACATGAACATGTCGGTACGTAAACCCGAGTCAGCTGACACGATCTCTCTTACCAGAGCGCCATGTAATACCATGTTCTGACCGACATCGAAAACATATTTTCGTTGGTAAAACTGGTTTTCGACCTAAAACTTGTGTTTTCGTCCATGTAAAATCTGTCAAACGAAAACTAGTTTTCGCTGAAAACCACTTGAAAACTCACGTTCCACTCATTCCAATCGGTGTCTGCACTATTTTTTTTCGATTATTTATCGAAGTGGAAGTCATAGTCCCCTTTCAGACACGTCAAGTCTTGAAAGCAATTTTTATCGCATTCTCTTTTGTGTTTTCTCTTTGCTTCCACACGCGTCAAGTTTTATTGAATTCAAGTCCTTGGATCTTTAAATGGGAAGCAACGAAAAGATCAAAAGAGAACAAGAAAACTTGAAACGAATTGACGGTACGGAGGTATCTGTATTCTTCCACTCTCTTCCCACCTCCTTCGCCAACGAACGAGCATACTTGAAAGTAACACTTGACGTGTGTGAAAGGGGACATATTTTATCATTTTTAATACGCCATATCGGATTTATTTAGTCTGTTCCTTTCAACTGTGGAACTGTCAAACTACAATTTTACTCTCTCCAATGAGAGTAAAAGGAGAACAGATGCAGAAGTGCATAGGAACGCAAAAAGCACTATTTCCTGTAAAAATGTCAGTCGGTTTGTTTGCATGTCATTTGTACAACACTTATTTGGCTGAAATATCACTAACTAATTATTAAAATTTATACATGTTCAAATATTTCGTTGTTTACTTCCATTTTTGTACAAATATTAGGTTGTTTGCTTACACCGCTTTCTGTTTTTGTTTGCACATGCAAATCAGCTGATCGTTTGACACTCTTCATGGACTTACAGGGAAAAAACTCCGGACTAAATCCTGTAACTTCTGACTAGGAACAGTTGCTCAGTTACTCTCTCAAATGTGTTCCCACTTACAGGTTTTATGTCAATAGGAACGACTTCCTGTAAGTTCTAACTAAATCCTGTAAACCGGACTGCTATTGGAACAGACTAATTGTTATACCATGTTCTGACCCACAACGAAAACACTTTGAAAACAAGTTTTGGAATTGTGGGCTGAAGGCTGTTCACACCGGCTGTTAGTGTTTTCGTTGACATTTCTTACATCCTCTCATTGCAGTTTTGCTACACAAAAACAAACCCAAAATGCTTTTCCCACATTTTCTTTTCATTAGCAACCTCTTACTTTCATTCTTATTTTACTTTGGCCAGCCAATTAACAATAAATACGAAATAGCGTATTAAACATGATAAAATATGACTTCCACTTCGACAAATAATCGAAAAAAACTACCGAATACACCGATTGGAACGAATGAAACGTGAGTTTTCAAGTAGTTTTCAGCGAAAACTGGTTTTCGTTTGACAAATTTTACATGGACGAAAACACAAGTTTTAGGTCGAAAACTAGTTTTAGCATCGAAAACATGTTATTAATGGTATTAATTGGTTGGCAAAAGTAAAATAAGAATAAGAGGTTGCTAATGAAAAGAAAATGAGGGAAAAGCATTCTGGTATTGTTTTTGTGTAGCAAAACTGTAATCAGAGGATGTAAGAAATGTCAACGAAAACACTAACAGCCGGTGTGAACAGCCTTCAGCACACAATCCCAAAACACGTTTTCAAAGTGTTTTCGTTGTCGGTCAGAACATGGTATAAATGAAAACTCAACACCGCAGAATTCGTCTGTAGTTGAAGCCCGTAGCGCTGAAATCTGCGGAATTTAGACTTTTCCGTGTCAGCTGATTTCTTCCTTCTATAGATGGTTGCCACATCGTCAGTTTTGCAAATGGTAAAAAAGTTATAATTCCCTATTCAAAATACGTTTAAAATATTTGAAATTTACTATTGAATAAGGTTTTTTGTTGAAAACTAAGTAGTTTTTATTTAGCTACGATCTATTATAGCACGAAAAATTGTAGTCAAAAAGGTAAGTTTATAAAAGGGCATTGATGAGTGGCAACACCGCAGTAAGTAACACTGAGCGCTCCAGTAATCGACAAAATTCTGCGTATACAGACTGCGTTTTTGACAAATTTCACCTTTGGCCTGGGATTCAGTAATTCAGTCTGATCTCATGATATAATAATACAAGGTGGTATCAATTGTGACAGCTCGATTTGACACTGCCTTAGCTCAGTAGAACGAGAAGAAAAGCGGGAAGAAATTAAGCCCCATTTGTGGGAAAAATATAAAATTTCACATTTTTTCCTAAACAAAATTTGCTTTTTTATAGTATATTCGTAATGAAATGAAATAAAATAAGATAAAATACTTTTCAAGTTTGGTTTGCAGACAAAGCGGTTTCGGCATTGTGCCGAAATTCGTTCCAAAATAAATCATCCTACCACCCAGTCGGAAAACTCAGCCAACACCAACACATAAAATACCTTTTTAAGAAAAAAAGTGTGTATACTGAGAAAAAATAAAAAATATTGTATATTATTAGGCAAAGAATTGTTAAAGAAGTAACACTGTCTCACCTAAGGCAGTCAATGGGCCTCCGCACACTCGACTGCTCAGTCCTAAAACCGGTTTTGTGTGGATAAGAGGGGGAAGAGAGTTCGAGTTTATCTCGCTCATTTCAGTCCGCGAAAATCGCGGATTGACGGTGGACTGACACGCACACATAGACAACATGCTTTCTATTTCGTTTTGTTTTCACGTGCCACATGCACTAACACTATCATGCGTAGTTCATGTATACAAAACTGAAACCTGTTTTCGGCCGATTGCCCAGTCCATTGTGCGTTCGAGTGGTGGACTGCTCACTCCGATTGAGCAGGCTAGTGTGCCCAGGCCCAATATGGCGGAATTAGAGCGAGAAGTTGCCAACCGATAACACCTTGTACTATTGCATCATGGTCTGATCTCAAGTAGGAATGTTCGATATTTAAGAAAGTATCGATATCATGAATCTATTTAATTCATTGCATGTAAAATCGATATGGCGATATATCGGGCTGAACAATATCGATATCGAAAAAATCGATGTTGAAAATCCTACTCCCAATTGAATAGAATATTATACCTGCTTATCAACTCAACTAATTGTGTTATTTCCATCTTATATATTTAATGAGGATTAAAACGGCATGCCGGTCGACTCAAGCGGTTTGTCAAACTTAAGAGCCACATAAATCGCACAAGCTGTTGATTAAACCTACTTTAGTATTTTTCCATACACTTCTTTGTAGACGAAAAATAAATTTCAACTTAAATATCGATGTTGCTGGTGACGTATCGATGTCTTCGATATATCGACCTTGGAATGTCGATTTAAAAAATCGATTATCGTGCGATGAAATATCGATATTCAGAAATATCGATACGATATCGAACTATCCTAATCTCAAGTCACTAATTTGAGATTAGCAATTACAGGTCTATTCTGCACGTGACC